ATAATAATAATAATAATAATAATAATAATTATTATTATTATTATTATATTAGCATAAATAAAATAAAATATTGGCCCTTCATGTAAAAGTTAGTCTGGCACTAATTTGCAAATCGTTTTGTATATAATTACAAAAATATGCTCTTCTAAATGTGGAGGGGGGAAAAATCTAATATATAATCTAAATTGCTAATATCTTGCAAAATAATTATGCTAAAGCACTCATGCACAAATCTGCATACTTGTATGTAAAATATGCCCTCCTAAATGTGAGGAGAAAAAAAACAAACAAACAAACAGAAAAACAGAAAATCAAATATTGGAAAAACAATGCTGGAAATATATAGAGTAAAATGTTTATTTCTGGCAAGTTAATTAGGTTATACCACAATTTCTGGCTCTATATTACAATTGTGTACATATCTATATAATTCCAAAAATAGCACACCCTCCTAAATGAGAAAGAAAACCTCTCAAAATTAAAAATTGAAAAAAAAAATATAGTGAAAATATATAGTAAAAAATGAAAATGTATGAAATGTTAACTGTTATAGGGTGTGATAAGAACGTTTATTGCTTTTTATTTTATTTTATTTATTTATTTATCTATATCTATTTGACATTTTAACTTTTGATGCTCCTTTTCAATATTATTAGTAATTCAGTTTTAAATGTTTATTTATTTATTTTCATTTTAAGTTGTTTCCTGTAAAACAGCTTCAGGATCTTTTAGGGCATGCAGGCATTCAGAAAGCCTGCAGAATTCCCCTTTCCACATAACGTATATATGATTCCCCTGGGCCTCAACAAAAGCTCACAGACCGCAGTGACCACACATTTGCCCCCTGAATGTGGGCTCCGTGCCTCAGCCGTTCTCACCACATTGACTCCCACACAGCAGACCGAGTTATGTGCCAAGCAGGGGACTGGGACACCATAGAGTAAACAGGAGGACTAGAGAAAAAGACAAATATAAATGCTATTCACTGAAGAAAACTGAGCTAATTTTGTTGTTGTTGTTGTTGTTCCACTGTTCAGCTGACCTTTAAGAAGAGCCTCTTGGAAATTTGCTTCAAAGCTGTAACATCGACAGCTGGCAGCCATACTGGATAGAGTAACTTAAGTTACAGCAATGAATCCTGGGTCATAAAACGCAGCACTGCTTTGGGCTTAAATGTGTATTACTGCCCTAGAAGAAGGAGGAGA